ATGGAGAACATTATCCAAGTAATATATTATCCTACACAACACACAAACTACTGTATACCGAAATACGGCACAAGTAATATATTATCCTACACAACACACAAACTACTGTGTACCGAAATACGGCACAAGTAATATATTATCCTCCACAACACACAAACTACGGTATACCGAAATACCGTCGATCTTCTTGTTCAATGTTTTCTCTACTTTTATAGTTTATTTTGATATAAAACTTTATGATCGCATTTTTCATGAATTCGTTGGTAATTAGTTCGTTAAGAATCCTCATCCGTTGTTATATACTTCTTCGTGTTCTCGCAAATTCGTTTATCCGTTGTATTCGATGTAAGCCAGTTATTTTTCTCGGTTTTAAATCAAAAAGCTGTTTGTTATACCTCTGTACAAAACCCTGTTTGTTATGTCTCTATACAGTACCACGGAAATGATCCCTATTGTTTGTTATGCCTCTATACAATACCCCGGAAACGATCCCTATTGTTTGTTATGCCCCTATTCAATGTCCTGGAAACGATTCTTACTGTTTGTTATGCCTCGATACAATACTCTGTTTGTTATGTCTATATAAAGTACCCCGGAAACGATCCCTATTGTTTGTTATGCCTCTATACAATACCCCGGAAACGATCCCTATTGTTTGTTATGCCTCGATACAATACTCTGTTTGTTATGTCTATATAAAGTACCCCGGAAACGATCCCTATTGTTTGTTATGCCTCTATACAATACCCCGGAAACGATCCCTATTGTTTGTTATTCCTCTATACAATACCCCAGAAACGATTGTTACTGTTTGTTATGTCTCTATACAATGTCCTGAAAACGATTCTTACTGTTTGTTATGCCTCTATACAATGTCCTGGAAACGATTCTTACTCTTTAGTATGCCTCTGTAGAATGTCCTGGACATTATCCTTATGAGTTAGTTAGCTTCAAATCAAAATTAAGAGCATATCGTGATAGGGCATGTTTTCAAAGATTCCTGAAAAAAACTTCCTGATTGTATCTGAAACACAGATGTTTCAGTGAAAGGGTAAATGATCTCAAAATAGTAACTCAGGTGAGAAAATCGCTACAGTCATCCAGCATCAACGTATTTTTAGGCGTCTGAAACAGGTGCCAAACATGCCATGCTTAAAAAGTACAGCTGTTACGAGTACTATGTTTAGGTGAAAAATAAGATAACACTATCACGGTAATTTGAGAGCTTTAAAAGCGTTCTTCGCTGTTTTTGTAATCTCTCTTCCTATTAATAATACAATATTCCAGCGTATAGCTGAAAGGTTGTCTGAATTTGTGTAGTATTTTTACGAAAATGTGGACCCAGCAGTAGAATGACTTGTGCCAGTGGTTATCTAATACATATACAATCACTGTTTTAAAATATTCCGTAAGCAGTGACCAGATGATCTACGTATTAAATTTCTAGTGTCTGAGAACCATATGCCCATGTTCAAGTCCGATCACTTTTCCATGTGTCGGTAGAAAAGCTTTATATGTTTGTAATTAAGCACAAAGCTACACAAAGGGCTATCAGCGTTGTAAGTCCACAGACATACCGCTGAGCCACTGGAGGGGCAAACTTGATTTTCAAGAAAGTAAGTGGAAATTGAGTTAAAAATCAAACTGTCTCAAATAAGGGGTTTCCCATTAATTATTTTTCTACTCTACGTTTTTACCATGAACCCAAGGTAAGAAATATTAGTAGAGATGACTATATAAGGTGACTATTAAAGCTCTTCAAAATGTAGCATTCCTCCCCCAAGGTAAGAAATATTAGTAGAGATGACTATATAAGGTGACTATTAAAGCTCTTCAAAATGTAGCATTCCTCCCAAAGGTAAGAAATATTAATAGAGATGACTATATAAGGTGACTATTAAAGCTCTTCAAAATGTAGCATTCCTCCCCCAAGGTAAGAAATATTAGTAGAGATGACTATATAAGGTGACTATTAAAGCTCTTCAAAATGTAGCATTCCTCCTGCTCAAACTTGACTATAAACCTTTGTAGTAGCCAAGAATATTTAATAGTAAGAGTCTCATACATGTGATATTTTTATAAGAGGACCTTTAAATTAATTTTATTCTCTCCATAGAACTGAACGTTTACTCCAGGATTTCCGTCAAACAGCTTTCAATTTTTACCAACTGATTAATTAATCATAGAATAGCTCCTTAAGCACGATGTGTTTTGACTTAACTAACACTGACATTTCTGATCAGGACACACCAAACGGTTAATGACAATTTAGTAGCAACATAGCTGATTTAGGTGATCGTTGACTTTGACTGTTGCATTACCCTAACCAACTTTACAGTTAACGTATCTTTACCATGTTTTAAGATCTTAGCTCCATCAAATAAGAAAGAAAGACTACTACACTTTTGCAACTTTTGCTGGTTCATTTCTCTACAGCTTCAGACGTTATCAAGCCAAGTAAGATGAAAACACAAGAGTTCTGTAATTGAGTACAGTCGTTTTACTGGTAGCGGAGAGTACTCGTTCAAATCTAAGCTTTATTTCATTTAAGGCTGAAAATCCAGGCCTATTTTTGTAACGTGTGATACTCAAGTATAGTACTGAAATAAGATTAGATTTTGACCTTTGACATTTGCTGGCCTTCAAAAATGTGGAATAATATAAATAGCTGGTGTAACTGTTTATATAATCACAGCAAGGTCTGGTTTTTAAAAAAAGCTTTAAGAAAAGGTTTTTCAAATGGTAGACCCAAGCGTGGTTTAGTGGTTAACTTGCCCAGATTGTGAATCAAAAGATTCGAGGCTCGAGACCCCTTATCGCAAAAACGCACTCCTCAATTTTGGGAGTAATTGCGCTATATAAGTTACGTTAATTCCCACTATTCGATCGAACAAAAGTTAACGGTGGGTGCTATTGACTTCTTCCCTTCCCTCTAGTCTATGAGTTTAAAATTAGGGATGGCTATTCATACGTAGCCCTGATGCAGCTTGCGCGAAATTCTGAGACAAATAAACTTACTTGAGTTTTTAAAAAAATCAATTAATTAACTAATAAAACAAATAAATTATTTTCATACAGTCAAGGATATGCGTTATTCGCTATACAAATAGATTTAATTCTCCAAACTGTATCCTCCAGTCAACGTAAACTTTATTCCAACTGGTTCTCTATTCTTCTATTTAAGTGATTGACTATGATAAGTAATAATATGTTTGATTGTGAAGCAAACTTTAATTTTCTTTATACTTTTCACCTGAAGAGAAATGTGAGCAAAAAAATATTTTTTTTAATTTTGTTTGTTCCAGAATGTACTTACCGACATACAACAATGGTGGACGATGAAAACGTCAGTATGGAGATTTTAGACACCGCTGGTAAGGTAAGTATTAAAAATGTTATTCGTTTGTTATTGGTTAAATGTGATATCACAGTTTGGAAATCTGTAATGCATGTGTGCCCGGCATGGCCAGGTGGTTAGGGCGCTCGACTCGCAACCTAAGGGTCGCGCGTTCGAATCCCGTTACACCAAACATGCTCGCCCTTTAAGCCATGGGGGCGGTATAATGTGACGGTCAATCCCACTATTCGTTGGTAAAAGAGTAGCCCAAGAGTTGGCGGTGGGCTGGTGATGAATAGTTGCCTTCCCTCTAGTCTTACACTGCTAAATTAGATTGTGAGTCGAGCGCCCTAACCACCTGGCCATGTCAGGCATTGGCTACTCTTACATCTTAAAAAAAACATTTTTTTGAATGAAATTTGTTAGTTTTATACAACAAAGGTATACTTTAGCTATGTCGCTTTAGAGACTATGTCTCTGTACTTATACTTCATAATTACTGTAGCGGCTTAGTGCTTGTTTTCCCTGTTTTATTACATAGAACATTACAAAACTTCCAAAACAAAAATGCTGTCTTAAGTGAACAGTTGAATTCCTGAACTTAAGCTTTAACACAATCAGGTTCTAAAAACTATGTTGCCTAGCCACAATGTTTTTCATATGACCTTCTTGACATTTCTATAGCGACACCCCCTTTGCGACAGAAATTGAAACACTCTCGTCTTTCAGCATTCGTCTCTATGTTACCACAACACTTCTTGTCAACCATACTTCCGGATATCAGTATCTGGCTGACAGCTTTCAATTCTACTGCATGCTTGAATAAACTATACACAAGTAAAACTGAAATACAAGCGTGTAAAGGGCGGCAGTTTAAGAACAGCAAAGGTTCTTTCTGCTTCAGTGAGTCTGTATCCTTCTTTCTATCTTCCTCCACTCAAGTCAGAGAACCGTTAAAACCGGCGATCGTATTCCCCGTTTCTCAAAAACCAACACGCCCGTGGCTCTTTGCGGATAAACATAAGCGTTAGATTGTTGATAAGCTTGGGATGTTGTTGTCTTAGAAACCAAAAAAAAAAAACTGTGAACAGTTTTAAAATATACCAACTCAGCTTACTAGGGTTTATAACGTAACATTGTTTTACTGAAAGATAATTACAATTTTACTGAGTAATTCATGTTATTAGTTAAGCATTTCTTGCATTCATAAGAGCTGTTCATTCGTGAATTGTTAATGTTAGTGATATTACCCTATTAAGATTCGGTATAATCATTAACAGTTATCGCTAGCGTAATAGTTTTTAAATGTTTGTGGCATGATATCAGAGCAGATAAAATGTTCTATAAAAATCTTAATATTTTGAAGAGTCGAGAATCTAATTGACAATATACTTCTTGTTCATGTGAGCACACGAACATGTGTATCACTTGTGTATAGTTTAAGTTCGTTTTCTTTGCTACATCACGTAGGGAGAAAGTATCCACCAAGAGGGCAACATCAACTGGGGAGAAGGCTTTCTACTCGTGTACAGCACGACCGACAGGGAGAGTTTCGAGGATATTGTCAATCTGCATCAGCATATAGCTTCTGTAAAAAAAACACAAAACTTCTCTTGCGTGCTAGTCGGTAACAAGAACGACCTCACACACGAGCGTAAGGTCGGGCAGGAAGAAGCCGAGCAGCTTGCCGTTGATCTGTCGTGTTGTTTCTTCGAATGCAGTGCCTGTGACGGAGGCGAGGCTGTCGACGAATCCTTCAAGGAGCTACATCGGGATGTAGTACGGAGAAGAATGGTAAACAGCATGAGAAGACGACGAAGCTCGGCCCAACAGGTGAAGCAAGTACTCAACAAAATGTTCACGAAAATTAACTCCTAAACCAAAAAGTAAATGAATTAAACAAAAGGACAGGAATATGTCTGAGAAGGGTATCGCTCATTTGAGGCATCATGGGAAATTTTCGAGATGGTTCCTGGCAGTTTCATGCGTTCGTTTGTTAAATAAATATCAGATACTGGAGAAAAAATGATTAAAGGAATCATTGAAGTCTGCTTGCGTCTTGGACTTTAAAAAGGCGCGTATTGATATTTTATAAGAAAGGAAACGATGTGAATTACGTGCTCATTTACAAATTCAAGAAGTAATACTTATACTTTTGAACAGCTATCAATGTCTTCTCAAGCGTCCAAACCAAATATTTTTCTTGAGTTTTTTTTTTCCCTCTTTCGCTTCCGAAACGTAAACAACAAATTAGTCTTACTTTCAGATGAGCTGAACTGGAAAATAAAATTCATTTAGAAAAGAAAAATGAGTTATTTACCAGCTATTCAGTAGCAAAAAAAATTAAACATTATGATATATAAAAAAATTTCTTATATATATAAACAATATAGTATGTATTGTACCTTACCTTTACAACAGCACATTGCTTTCCATACAAAATAATAAAAAACTCTAAGCTTATAAAAACAACAAAGCATATTATTAATGTCACTCTACCCACAAAAGACGTGAACACAGCTGTAACAAAAAGGATGAAACAAACTATTTAATTTTTTTTACTCAGGTTGTGAAGAAAATAATTAAGTAAATTATTTATTAGAGAGTAGCGTTCTGTAAGTCCAGTTTACGAAAGATGTAAGTCACAAGATGATGAGCTTAGCCCAACAAGTGATCCCTATCATTACCTATGTATATTGTGAACGTTTCGATATTTGCAGATGACCCCTTTCCCTATATATTGTGAAATATGTGTTTAATTTTTAATTTCAGAAAGTAAAAATAGCATGTTCTTATTTTTACCTGTAAGAAAATGTTGCCGTAAGTATATTTGTTGTAAATTGTGATAAATAGTGTATTTGTCAGAGTTCTGTTATCCTTCAATTGTGGTATACTGCTCTTGTCTAGTAGTTTTTGTAGCTGGATTCATCAGTCACTTTGTCAAGTCGGTGGATTTTCTGAGGACAGAACTGACGGTTAGAATCGTTATCCGTGAATAGTTGGACACTGGACAAAGTGGTGTGGATAAAAATTTAGGAAAAGCAATCTGTATATAAGAAAATCTACACAATTGCTATGAACAGCTACAGTATGGTCCCGGAAATTTCATTTGTGGTAAATAATTGAAGATAGTTATGAACAACTTGAATAAATGTTTTAAAACACAAGCCTGAGTTATCTCTAGTTCTTCAACTTTATTTTGTTATTTATTCTCTAGGCGATTTATGAAAAATTTTGTAGGATTAAAAAAAGAAAACCAGAGAAAAATTGCAATAAAAGAAATTTGATAATGAGAACCTTTTAGGAAGCCAGATCTTCCTTCGTGAAGTGCGAACTTAACCCTAAAGAAACTTAACCTTAACCCTTAACCAACACCCACCAGATTATGAATGTTTCTTTATTTCTATTAGTGGCCCTAATTATTTAACTTAATAACACCCATAAGGCTTACAATCTCCTTAAAACGTTTTTTGTTGTTTGTTTTTCACTGTTTCGAAAAGTAAGTTTGTATACGAATGATCTTATCTTTTCTTTCTTGTAGAAGCACAACGCCCTCTATGAATATTTTATTTGGGTAACAACTGCTAATTTTTTTCGGTGGTTGATAGTAAATAGGGAGGGCCTCAAAACGTTTCAACGTAACTTCTGGAGGCCTTGAACTATTCTTTTCTTCTTTTTTTTTTAATGGAAAGAAAACCTCACTACTATTACAGTTTACTATTTTGTTTATTACAGAAATATGCACCATAAAGACAAGAACAAAAGTTAAATCAAAAGTTGATCTGGTTCAAATAAATGTTATTCCTGATTATTGATACAACACTACAGATGAACATATCTACAAAAAATCTGAATAAAAACTGACTATATTACATCATTGTGTACCTTAAAATGCTAATCAATAAGCACACATTTTATATTTGAATATCGGGTATACTAGATCAGAATGTCATGTGCGTTACATGAAGCTTATGGACATATTTCAAATAAGGCTACACAAATTTAACGTATGTAATCCTCAGTGTTAATGAAACATTACTGAGAAGTAGCTGATATGTCAGTATTGTTAATTTTGTTTGCAACTGACACTTCATTATCATCTTCGTTTGATTAGTCGTCATTTATAGGATTAGCGATTGCCATAATCTCCTCTTAACTGTCAGTATATTATAAAATCTAACCTTAATATTGTCACCTGAGTCCATTTGATTTTTGTTTACATCAGGCAATCCTTAATTTTGCATCGACTGTCGTCGCTACTTGTAGTGAGCGGAAGGCAGGCTTCTGAGCCAACGTCTTCACGTGGGCTTGAATTTGTTTAATACTTATTTGTATTTATGGCAAAAATACTAACGCTATCTGCCGCCATTCATAATTTTGAACTACTAACTAGAAGGAAGACAACCAGTTAGCAGCACTCTACCATCCACGCTAACGGGATTGACTATCACTCTTATAGCACACCCGCAGCTTGAAGTGAGAGGGACATTTTGTGGTATCGCACAGATTCGAACTCATATCTCTACCAACCGGCGCCCGTGATAGTAACAAATCGGATGTTTAGAAGAAAATTGTTTTCATTTATATCAATACTAGGGATAATAAAGATTCAACCAGCGTATCTATTTAATATAATGACAGTGTAAGAAGCTCCACAATATCAACGTCATAATTTCACTCACAAACATATCATAACAACCACAATACATATTAATATTAACAATGTATAGTGAAATTGAAAACATAATTTTTTGCTTCTTTCAAGTTAAAGTAATGTTCAATCTAATCATATGAAATAGTATATAGTAGAAAATGCACCTTAATTGAGCTGTTATTAAAAGGAAACGTTAAAAGCGTCATGTCGAAATCTAATAATGTGAAATATATAAATACACCATATAAAATGCAATTATATTCAACATTTATTGATAGGAAATTCTAATATGTAAAGTAACTGATAATGGAAACACACATTAATGAAATACTTTGATTTTACTGATATTGGAGGGAGAGAGAAATTAATGACGCAGAAGACTAAAAACTTCAGTTACAAGAAATATTGCCCCCCCCCCCCAGTGGCACAGCGGTATGTCTGCGGATTTACAAAGCTAGAAACCGGGTTTCGATATCCGTGGTGGGCAGAACACAGATAGCCCATCGTGTAGCTTTGTACATAACTTCAAAACAAACAAACAAACGTACAAGAAATATCTAATAGGATCGTTTAACATCTTTCACTTGTTTATCTTTTATTATATTTTTTTAATAAAACTGACTGTAAAATTGTATTTAAAAACACGAAATAAATTATGACACTTTTAACCCGATAAATTCAAGGACATTTGTTGTTATATGTACAACTTGGAAAATGTTTTAAATACTTTAAACTAATATATGGGGGGGGGGGCTCAAATATATATTGGTTTGACTGGAAGGGCCTGGAAAGATTTTTATTACTTAGGAGGGGTTGATTTGAAGTTAAGCACAAAGCTAAAAAAGCGGCTATCTTGTTCTG